GAATATACCACTTCGGCAAAACGCAAAATACAGTCGTATACGTAAATAAAACATGATAAAAAATTATACCACATTGAACTCTGATATTTTTTCTACATACCCGCATATAAATTTTGTTTTCAAGACTGCAAGAAAGATGAAAAATTTGCACAAACGTTTCATGGTCTGATGAAAATTTTGATGTGACTATGCGGGATGCCAGAGGTTATTTCATTCGTCATATTTTTAAAAAAATTATGTGATTCAATTGGTTGAAAAAATAAACAGTTTGTGACGTATTTATAGTAAAAATTTGGTTTCAGGGGGGTTGAACTACAACAGGAAGACTGCTAAAATACAAGAGCGATCTTTTTTCAAAGATGAAATGGTGGATTTTAAAAACTTTTTACATCCATCCATAACTTTTATCTACAGCAAAACAACCAGGTACTTTTGGCTACATGTACACGAAATGTCATGAAATTCTGAGCAATAATGGCGAAGAAAATGTGCTATAAAAAAGACGGCGATATGTAATGCGAACACGCTTCGTTGTGAGTTGTGAACCTTGCTCGACAAAGTGTATATAGGCAGTGAATTTAGTTATAGCGTTTTAATTTAACTTGGTTCAATAAGTTGGATAAATTTTTCCGTTTAATACTGAGTGAATGTGTTCACAAAATAGGCTGCAATTTGTAAGAGTGCTAGCATTATTTTATACCCCAGCATGGAATTTTGCATTTATATATAAACAACCTTGTATCAAAGTTCTGAAAGTTTAATTAATATGTATTCTATAATAAATGCCTAAACATCTCCCTAGTTTAAACTTTAAAGTACACGTTAGTTAACAAAAACTAGTGACTGTATCTATTACTGTGAATACGAACTGTCTTTCACACTGATGATAAATAAAACAGGCCAAAATGCAAATTTGTTTTCATATAAAAACAGTTTTATAGTGATATAAAAACAGTTTTACAGAATTCACTTCGAAATATTCTTGCTATATAGCTATTTAAAATTATAACTACTGTAGAGATCCACTATTTAATACTGAACACTTGATTACTAGGAAAAATAAATGATCCAACCTATTGTTCTGAGTTACAGTATTAAAAACGCTATAAAATAAGTTCATACCTATAACTTTTCTGAGCTTCACAACGAAGCGTGCTCGCATTACATATCGCCGTCTTTTTTATAGCACATTTTCTTCGCCATTATTGCTCAGAATTTCATGACATTTCGTGTACATGTAGCCAAAAGTTACCTGGTTGTTTTGCCGTAGATAAAAGTTATGGATGGAAGTAAAAAGATTTTAAAATCCACCATTTCATCTTCGAAAAAAAATCGATCTTGTATTTTAGCAGTCTTCCTGTTGTAGTTCAACCCCCCCTGAAACCAAATTTTTACTATAAATACGTCACAAACTGTTTATTTTTTCAACCAATTGAATCACATAATTTTTTAAAAAATATGACGAATGAAATAACCTTTGGCATCCCGCATAGTCACATCAAAATTTTCATCAGACCATGAAACGTTTGTACAAATTTTTCATCTTTCTTGCAGTCTTGAAAACAAAATTTATATGCGGGTATGTAGAAAAAATATCAGAGTTCAATGTGGTATAATTTTTTATCATGTTTTATTTACGTATACGAAGTATTTTGCGTTCTGCCGAAGTGGTATATTCGTCAGTTGAGATATAGTTGCCAACCTTAGGTATAATCTATATATATCAACACTGCTTTTCAAATTGAGTGCTTGCGGCGCGCGCGACAAATGACAAAGGAATGGGTCGAGCTTAATGCAAATTGACATTTGGAAGCATTATTGGTGCATTCTACACGCCGTTTTGGGCTGCCTATGCACAGACACACTAAATATTGAAATATTTTATACCGCGAGTTTTTTTGTCATCAGTATTTACGCCTGAACGTTAGCTTAAAAGATTTATTTTATGGACTGATTCAGGCCCGATCAGCAGTTAGGATTTTAGGATAATGCAAATTTTAGGCTATAAATACACTATAAAAGTTGTATCTTGTATTAAAAATTTCGACAAATCATCTCGTGTATTAATAATGACATGTTTATATTAAAAACAATACAAAAAGCACATTTAAAAACTTTCCTAGAGGAAAATCACACTCTTACTGTTATATTTCCATCAAAATAGCCGAAATCTACCTTGCTAAACAACAATTCCACGATAAATGCAAATAAAAAAATGCCTTGCGAAACAGTTTCGAAAAACAACACGAGGTCGGCAAAGTAGCCAAAATCACTTACGAAAAATACCAAATTGCTTCTCTGTTTTGAATGATTTTTTTTCCAAGTGGAAACGACTTATTTCAATCACCATCTAATCCAATCACTTCCCAATCAATTAAGTCATTTCACATTACATCGAATCAATTCAAAACTAGTTGAATCACTTCACAACAACACGCGCCGAGACCGCACAAATTACGTCATTTCAAAATACATCAAATCATTTCACATCGCATCCAGTCGAGTCACATTAAGTTGAATCGTTACACATTAAGTTGAATCAATTCACATTAAGTTGAATCGTTTCACGTTATATTGAATCGTTTCACATTAAGTTGAATCACTTCACATTATATTGAATCGTTTCACATTATATTGAATCGTTTCACATTATATTGAAGCGTTTCACATTGTGTTGAATCGTTTCACATTAAGTTGAATCAACTCACATTAAGTTAAATCAATTCACATTAAGTTGAATCAATTCACATTAAGTTGAATCAATTTACATTATATTGAATCGTTTCACATTAAGTTGAATCAATTCACATTAAGTTGAATCGTTTCACATAATTATATTGAATCGTTTCACATTACGTCGAATCAATTCAAAACTAGTTGAATCACTTCACAACAACACGCGCCGAGACCGCACAAATTACGTCATTTCAAAATACATCAAATCACTTCACATCGCATCCAGTCGTTTCACATTAAGTTGGATCAATTCACATTAAGTTGAATCAATTCACATTAAGTTGAATCGTTTCACGTTATATTGAATCGTTTCACATTAAGTTGAATCACTTCACATTATATTGAATTGTTTCACATTATATTGAATCGTTTCACATTATATTGAATCAATTCACATTATATTGAATCAATTCACATTAAGTTGAATCAGTTCACATTTAGTTGAATCATTTCATAACACGGTAAATGGTTTCAAAATAGCATGAATCATTTGTTCATGACTTGTTAAATCATTGCAAAACATGTTGAGCCATTTCATATTGTCTACATGAATTAACACAGCACTAATCGAATTAGAACACTGCGAGGTGAATCATTTCAAGTTTAGATGAATTGTTTCTCATCTTGTCCAGTCACGTTACTACGTTATGTTCAATAATTTCTAAACACAATGAATCATTTGTGTTTATAATGAATCATTTCTGTTTATGACCATTCATTTCACACGTGTAGTATTTTTGGTGGGAACGGCCGCCCATACGCCCCCCCTCCCCCCCTCCCAACACTGTTACACTGTCTAGTGTTTCAAAATTTGTCTCGTGGTAAAACAAACATTGAATACGAAGAGATGAGTGGATGTATTTTCTCCGGATAATATTACTAAAAATTTCTTTTGAAACATTTTATCGCAGTTGTTTTGTCCAAAACATTTAACAAAGCGAAGCCGCTGGGTGCGCCTTCGATCTTATCCCCCACCGATAAATTTATTGTTGCTTCCTCGTGTGTTTTTAATGCCTCGATGGAATTTCGCAGGAAAACGTTTTCTATTGTATCTCTTAAATAGTTGATTCGATCGTATTTAAATAGACAATTTGCAGAATAATTTCAGCATATACTATTATTAATTAAGTACTGACGCAAAGTCACAGTTTTTTCTTTAATAGACCTTCAGATTTTACTTTCATCTGTGTGCAAAGACGAAAATGGAGAAAATGTTTAATTTAGACCAACTTATATTACCTATTAAAGCCGGTAACCCAATTCGATTTCACGCATTCAGCATTAGACTGATTCCCATTACCACAACATTTGGCTTCTTCCAAAAAATAAATAAAGTCACGCCTCGGCTGTGAAGCTTTGCTCCTGTACAAACCATGTATATGTAAGGAAATGTAGCTGGACATTTGGACCAGCCTCTTCTGTCGAAACTTAACCGCCAGTCTGAATCTCGATACGAGCCATAGGCAATATAAGTTGTTTGAAATAAAATTAACGTTTCATCTACTGTAACTGAAAGAGTTTAATTCCGGATATACAATCTTAATGAACGGGAACTGCTAGACTGCTAAGAAAAAGTCATTGTGCATCTGTATTTAAGAAATTATAGGGGACCGGTCATTATTTATACCTGGTGAGGAAAATATTTATATATGCCATACTGAAGAGCCTGCAAACCCAGTAGCTATCTATATATAATAATTAGCAATTATTCGCCGAAGGCGAGGTGATTATCGGGGAACATTCGCCGAGACGAAGTCGAGGTGAATATTCCCCGATAATCACCGAATCTGAGGCGAATAATTGTTTTAGTATTTTTGCACAAGATTGTTTTGGTTTTTCTGGTCTGAATTCATTTCAATTTCGCTTATTTCTTTATCACTAACTTCAACAAAACGGCAAGCCGCCATTTTAAAAATTTCGATTTTGTTATATTCACCTGTAGGTGAATATAACAGATTAATACGTTAAATTTGACCAATCACCTTGTAGGATTTGTTATGTTCACTTGTGCAAAAATACTAAAACACTGTTATTCCGCTCACTCTCGTTGTATATGACTGAGAGCCAACTTAACCTGCGATCAGGCTTTTCGAAGAGGAAAGAAAAGCCTGATACAAATGTTAATTAAACCGTGCGCACTCATACCAAATATTGGTATTTTCCTATGATTGGTCAGAATAAATTTAAATTCAAATAGCTTGTTTTGGTTGGTTTTCATTAGTTAATAATTCCCGGTTTATTCCCAGGCTGAGTGTATTAAAAATATGACGTCGGAAAGTAGAAAGAATATATTTTTAAAGGCTTTAAATAAGACTGTGACTGATATAAAATCACATACTCTGAAACCAGAACAGCAAGAATGGATCAGAAGGCTAATCTGTTGTGGTGAAGATGTCCTTGCGGTTTTACCTACTGGTTTTGGGAAAGGCGTTGTGTACCAACTTCTTCCGACTGTTTACCAAAATTTGCACTTACTTGAAACAGGCGAGATGAAGCATTTTATGATTGTCGTCCTCTGGAGTATATTAGGCAGCAGCAGGTCGGAAATGTGACAAGAACCATGTGCCAAGGACCATGTAAAATGCTAAAATAATGCTCCTTGCCCTGACTCGTCCCCATTCGTCTCTGTGAGCACGCGCGAAACGAGGGAGACGACTGGCAGATTCTCTGGAATATCAGTTGAAACTCTAGAGTGCCAGGCGTAGACGTCTGTAGTTGATACCACTCCATTATATAAAGTTTAACACATTACTAACAAACGTAGTGAATTTTTAACGAATGCTAGCCGTAGCGTTAATTAACGCCGTGTTCAACAGTACAATAGTTACGCAATTGTTGATTATGTGTTGATCGAGTGAAAGTTGTTTTGTTCTTAGATTTCTTTTTGGCGTTCTTCGAAGCATTGGTGTACTCAGCCAGCATGACGTCGAAGTCGGCTGCACAGTTTCCAGCTCAGGAAGTGAGAAGGGAGCTAAAAAAGAGTTTCCTGAATGCCCTTTAAACTGGACTGGAGTTGGATTGTCACTATCACCCCCTTGCTGCCTGATAGTGCCAAAAAAGTTTTCCAAAGGGTCAGTATTTAACCTTCTAGTAAAGAGGAACTTGAACTGATGGTTGGACTTTAACTTGCTCCAGATTAGAATTAGTGCATTGATAGTAACTAACCAGCCATGAAGGCATTTAATCCGACCTGTCACATCTTTGTCGCCCTGAAACACTTTCAAATTCTTGATGAATGTGATGCTTTCCTTTAGATACTCAATGTGTGATGTTTTCTCATTGACTGCACACCGAAGTTTCTTGGTTGTGTGTAATGTGGAACTGTTAAAGCAATCAAAAATGGAACCGAATCTTGAAAGCAGTTCTGCAGTACCCATAGCAGATGAAGGGAGACCTCCGACACTAACATAGGTGCAAATGGCAGCTGCAACTGTGTGGCTTAGGACTTGTGTTGCATATTTTAACCTCATCTTTGCAAAATTATTTGGGTGAATGTGCTTCTCGGTTAATTTTGGGGCAGCTCGAATGGTGAGGGAAATGTCCTTCTGGTAGAAATTTTCCACGTCATTCCATACAGCAACATATCCATCAAACTTGAAGGTATACTTCATGAGGTTGTTTCGGACACATTTGAGCAGATGAGGAGGGTCAAACATCAAGAAGTAGGTCTTGTTGTTATATGTAAATCAGGGTTTGTCTCGAGTCACACCCATTCGATTAGCAAAGCTGTGGAAATTGGAAACCATATCCGACATCACCACTGCACTAGGACATTCAAACCAATCTGTTGCAGCTTATCAAGGGCTTCCTTCATTACATCTTCTAGGATATCAGTGGGACATGCACCATTGACAAGAACATAACCTATAGGTTGTTTCCACTTCCCAGAAATACTCCGTGCCAACAACACCAGTGCAGAGGTTCCCCCTTGTTGGTACGATATCCACCACCAAAATCCTCCAGACCAACAATTTTGTCTTTGGGGATACTGTAGAATAGGTGGGTTTTTAATGAAATTTCATCCATGCACAGTGAGCACAACTTCTCCATATCACTCATTTGAGAAACCTTTTGCTTTAAGGTGTTGATTGTTGCCTGTGATATACCAGCCTCTGTTGGCATCTTACCGATCTAGTCCAGAAGGGAAGATCGTGTTGGCAAGATAAAAAGTTTGGACAAGAGACGATATGCTTTTCCACTAGCATGAAACAGTGAAATTGCCAAGGATTTCATCTCTGGTGAGTAACGCCTGCCATGCTTTTTTGCTGTGTGGAGATCGAATTGCAATTTAACAAAGCCAGCCAAATGTGGGGGTAGCTTTTTGAGGGCATCATCCAGGGCACTTTCTTGGGTCTTCTTGTTTCGTATGACCTTGCTCAGCTTCTTATTCAATCTGCTAATCTTTTTATTTTTTGCCTCTATGACTTTTCTCTGCCTCTTTTTTCTAGGTGTGTTGGTTGTAAGGGTGCTGCTGGTTTGACCACAAAATTCTGCAGTCTTTGCTTCTTGTAAATCCTCTTGATGGTCTGGATATATCAGTAAAGAAAAACAAGAGTAAGCCAGTGCCAAGGTATAGTATGATTACCATTTCTATACACTCTCAGTCTCTCACTATAATAATAGTTTCTTTGTAGATTGTACCATAATATATTTTTTTTGGGTTATGTTTTAGGATTTCCCAATACATTGCTTGTCTGGGGACAAAATGAGGAGTACTGTAGAAGAGATGGGTATTAAAGAAGTTAAATATTATATTTCTACTCCACCTTGCAGTCCTGTAATATTATCCTCAATGACTGGATTATGGTCAACCATCATCCTAGCTTGATCACTAGATTGTTCTGTTTAATTAAAATATGTAAATCTTATATAACTACTTATATCTTTTAAATTTTAATACAATTGAGCAGAGGTGCAATAATCCGTTAGTAAACTGTTTTCAACATTTTTACCTTCCACGTCTGCTACCAGCTTTCGTCTTTTTTTCTGAAAAGAAACGGTGTGGATACTTTTATGGAGAAAAAAAACTCATTGTCGAGCTCGTAGTTGCACAGTATTATATTCTATACCAATATTTGTTTATGTAAAAAATAGTCGAAAATTAATAGCCAGAAAAGTGAAGACTTCTATTAGTTATTTCTGATTAAAACTAAATATTTTTTTACTTTTATTCTTCACCAATATACATTATAAACCATAGACGGGTTTTGTGTGTGGGGTGCAGGGGGGTGCTACTCCCCAATATTAGCTATAACCCCCAAACAAAATGTCCACCCCTCCAAAAAAAATTCACCCCCCCCCCCTTAATATTCGGCATAATAAAAAATAATTAAATAGTCCACTCCAACGTGCAGAGTGTTGATGATACAAAATAAACGTAGGAGTACACTCAAATAGAAAAAGACTCTGAAACTAATTGCTCCTCGCTTGCATTCACTGGTTTATTGGACCAATTGTAAAGTTTTGAAACTCTATTATCTCCCCTGAATAGAGTTTGCAGTGCCTTGTCATGCAAATAGCTTGCTTGCAAGGAACGTTTGGAAATTTTACGAACATTATTTTTAGTTTTTAATTCTTTTAGGAAATAGACTTGCCTAGATTTAATCTTTACGCCCCAAATATTATTTACATCGGAGTTGCATCATAAAATGTACTCGGATTCAAACGACACAATGTCAATGACTTTATAAAAGTAAAAGCATATTGTGTATTCATATTGACCTATTGGGTTTACACTTTTACAGGTTCATTTAACTTTAACTCTCTCAAGTCTCAACAGACAATCGGACATGCCAAATCCATTGATATGACAACTTCAAAAAACTTTTTTTCAAAGCTAGAAATCATGATTTTTTTCAAATTTTTCCAGGGATACTTTGTTTTCTGCTCTCTAGACTCCTCCTCGCGGCTCTAGTGCTCCACCCCTAGAATATAGACCTTACTGGGGTTTGGTGACACTTTGTGTTGCTTCAGTCACCTGCTCACGGCTCACCCCCCCCTAAAATTTCTGGCACCACCCCAGTAAAAAATATGAAAATCCGTCTATGGTTTCAATTACATGCCTATGAAAAAGTATCAACATTTTTGGGCATCTTGTTCGATTGAACTATAAAACCTGGTTTACACTATAAAGGTTTCTGTGATCACAGTAGGAATTTTACATTATAGGTAAATTCTAAGTTTTGAAGGATTTGTAAGAAATGTTTGAGGAAACTGACTCAGTGTTAAACATTAACTCATTTCTCACAAATCCTTCAAAACTTAGAATTTACCTATGCAAAATTCCTACTGTGATCACAGAAACTTTGATGGAATTTTTGAACACAAATTTATATACATTTTTAGACCAAACCAAAACCGATGTTGCTAAAAATGCAATTACAGGCCCTCTGGCAGAAATTTCGCGAACCTGCAACCTTGCGATTCTGGTGCAGCGCTCTAACCAACTGAGCTACAGAGTCCAAGATGAAAGAACAGTATAGAACTGATAGGGATATATGTGTCCAGTATTAAGAAAGTCAGATTAGTTTAAATTTTCTCCTATATGCTTACACTGGACTAGTAAGTCTAAGAGACTACCCTGACTATAAAAGAACAGTTTAGAACTGATGGAGCTATCCACTATTTAGTTTACCTTAAATTTGACAATAGTGACTTGATTAAGAGCCGTGACTAAAGATTGTGCAACATGCTGAGGATCACAGATCAATGGCCAGGTGTTTGCAGTCTCTTCTTGATTCACCAGACACGAGTTATCCAAAGACAACGGATCAGTCAGGGCCTTGGACTGTTGTAGCATTTTTAATGCAAGCTGAAAATCGAGAAGGCCGAACTAGATAAATCTATGTAGATAGATATGTATATATAGACTAACAATAATATAACTAATGATACTATTTTGCACTGATGAAGAACTAGGATTGTGTATCAATAGACAACTTTCATCACTAATTTCTCACCTTTCCATTGAGATATTCACAAAGGGGGAAATCATAAAATACTTGTTTCGACTCCTTTGGTAAGCCATGTTTCAAAGACGCGTTCGTGAAATATGCTACCAGCTTTTTTCTATAAGACAAGACAAATAGTTCAATTTCTGTTTGATTCCAACATTGTTGCTTAAAATGCACAAGGACAAAAATGTGCACAGCCCTACGGTCAAAATAAGTACACATTCTACCTTTGATCAATCCCCATAGGTCCACAGTAGGTCAAGAATGCAGCGGCAGACATACAATTTGATAAGAGAACTTCTGAGGACGAATACTCCACCACAAAAAGTCTAGAATCTTCTTCAAAATCTTTCAGTCTTTGTAACAGCTCTTGGGCAACTCTCAGTCTCTCTGACGAAGCATTCACCTCGTCCTGTAAGTCGTATTTCACCATGACTGCCTTATCAAAATCATCTTGTAATGTTTGCAGTTCTTCTTCTAATCTTGGGAGATCGTCTGCAGTCAGCTCTGGTCCAGGATCACTTTCTGCTGGCTAGAAGCACAAAAAAATAATAGGGGCGGATCAAGCCTCGTCTGCAAGGAGGGGTGCAGGTTTTCCATGGGGTGGTGCATGAAAAGCCTTACTGCCCACTCTCCTCTGCAGTCTGCAACGCTACTATCCCAACATTACCGTCATATGAGATGGCCGAATCTGCATGTTCGCCGTTCTGTTGCGTTTTACATTACAGTTTTTATTGGCTTTTTATTGGCGTTTTACATTACAGTTTTTATTGGCTTTTTATTACGTATGTGTGACTGTACAGTTGCTGTAGCACAGCACAGTAAATTTGCTTGTTAAAATACAGGGGCCGGTTGTATAAAAAAGTGATTAAAGTTAAATATGGTTAAGTGAAAACGTCATCCAATAAGAAGCGCGTATTTGAGAGTTAATCACTATTTAACTACAAAATAGTGATTAAAAAAGTGATTAAGAGTTTTATACAACCGGCCCAGTAGATTTGAAAATATGACAGTGTATATCAACCTCGACAATGATATTTAACCAAAGCATTGTGAGTATTTTCTCGTGAGCTCACGATTAAATCGTTTCAAAAAATCGACACGCGTTAACAGTAGAAGTTCCGCTAATCACTATTCGAAAAGCAGAAATGTATGGTCAAGCGGTTTTTTTAGGTTGGTGCTGGACTTCTCCAGGGGGATGCTAGGTGGGGCGCGCAACCAGGTAGAACCGCCCATGTGCCAGACATTTTCCAGCACTGCCCAGTGAACAAAAACAAGGAAGCAATACAAACCTTCTCCTCCTGTAAATCATCTTCGCTGTATCTTTCGTCATCGACGACTCGCTCGTGTTCTTCCTGTTCAGCAGACAGTTCTGTGATATAATCTAACATCCTCTTGTAAGGCCTATATCTCTTCGTGTGTTCTAGTAAGGCTAAAACGTATTCTACCAAGATGACAGCATCTTCCGAGGCGTATCGTGCGGCTGTGACTGTTATTCCATGCGAATGACGACGTTCTGGAAAAAAACAACAAGGTATTATATACTGAGACGAACTTACTGCAAGTGGGTGCAGGGAGAGTCACGTTTTAAGGGCAACATACATCCTGACTCTTCCAAGATAATGTAGCCTGGCTTGTCTCGTATGAGCACGTAATGTTTTATACGCATTAGCAAGAAAACGCGCTGACATCAGCAAAAATTCGTAAACAAAATGGCTATACTCATAGAGAGGTTAAAATACCCATGTTTACAGGTAGCAGGGTTCGTAGTCTCCAAGACCAAAAAATTTCAAAGACTTTCTGCCTATTGTCAAAGACTTTTGAAAGACCTTTGCGAGCAATCAGGTGTCGAAAAATTGCGATGTATAAGCACCATTTTTACCAGGTAATTAGCCCCGTCAAATCACATCCTAACATGCACTTTTTCGTCGATATTTGCGAAAATTTTGCTTCAATCAATCTATTTTATTAGCTAGGAAATCGTATAATCAAATAATCACCAAAGAATTTAAAGACTTTCTTCGCTTTTTCACACACTTCAAAGACTTTTCAAAGACCTTAAAGACCTGCATTCAAATTTAAAGACTTTCAAGGATTTCAAAGACCGCTACGAACCCTGGGTAATCTCTGAAATAGGCTCATAGACGTTTTTCGCTTCTTAGAATCTTACCTGTCGTTGGGGAAACCTTTCCTGGGGGTGTTCCAGCCTTTGCAATGTTTCCCTGCAGTGGTTGGCCTAGCTCTCCCACTTCATTCTTAGCAAAGAATGGTTCAACACTGCGTACAATGTCATCAGACAATCCCTCTTGCCAGCTAACGCCATGCAGAGCATCAGAAAACTTCTGTGAGTCACTCATAATCATTTGTATAGCTTTCCATGTATGACGATCCATCTTGCCATCACTTGAAAGACCTAAGATATAATCCTTATTAATAGAATTGGATTTACTGAGGCAGGGGTGCACACCCCTCGTAGCCAAGACAGGGGTGTGGGCACACCCCTTCTAGCCAAGACGCAGGCCTTAAAATATATTTTACAGGGCCGTCTGACAAAACGTCCGGCGACTTTAAGTTGGACATATGTATGATAATGTCCAATGACCTTATGTACAGAACAAAGTATGAATTCTGAATGGTAAATGTTGTGAAGATGCTTGTGTGATGTTACTCTGAGTGTGTATCCATACCGGGCAGGCCCGAAATACATGCCTGGTCACGGTGGGAATCGAACCTACGACCTTTGGAATACTAGCCCGATGCTCTGCCAACTGAGCTACGCGGTCAGGTCGGTTCGAGTAAGCGATATTTCGGAACTGAGTCTAGTTCCTATGATATCAGTGTAATCTAATGAACTCGTGATATTTGCTGTGTTGGTGTAATGTAATCAGGTGAATAAGATGCTTGTGTGATGTTACTCTGAGTGTATATCCACACCGGGCAGGCCCGAAATACATGCCTGGCCACGGTGGGAATCGAACCTACGACCTTTGGATAATTTGTGTCATTCATACTTATTTCCAAGCCAAAATTAACTCGCTTGCCAAGAACAGTAGTAAGACTTCGACAACTTAATGCGTTTTAGAGATGGTATTATTAATTTTTATACATTTATTATACCTAACCAGGGGCAGTTGCAAAAAAATGAAACTAGACCCTCTGGCAGGAATCAAACCTGTGTGGCCCTGCGATTGCGGTGCAGCTCTCTAACCAACTGAGCTACAGAATGACAGTTGTCGAGCTCTAATCAACTGAGCTACAGAGAGACAGTTGTCAAGCTCTAACCAACTGAGCTACAGAGAGACAGTTGTCGAGCTCTAACCAACTGAGCTACAGAGAGACAGTTGTCAAGCTCTGATCAACTGAGCTACAGAGAGACAGTTGTCGAGCTCTAACCAACTGAGCTACAGAGAGACAGTTGTCGAGCTCTAACCAACTGAGCTACAGAGAGACAGTTGTCGAGCTCTGATCAACTGAGCT